AAATAATATTAATATATATTTTTATTAACACACATAATTATTTCATATATATAAATACATACATCGAACAAAATTATTCATATTTTTCATGGGTTAATTAAATTGTTTTTATATACAACTATTGACTATAAACATAATTCGCATTTTCGGAATATATTCATGTCATTCTCCACACACACACACACACACATATACAAAATTATTTACGTATATGCACAAATAGTTTGTAGTTAAAGGTTAAGGATAAAGAAAAAGAAATTTATTGAGAGTATCACACACAATTTTAAGTCTGCAAATCCGTTTTGATAAATCAACACGTTTGACAGATTTATTTGTTAGTATAGGAAAGGATACAAGATTGATGTGCAACTGTAAACTATTCCGATCAAAAGGATTCTTTATCCAGACCATAACGTACATATATATATTATACACACGTATATAAAATAGGAAGGTTTTACCGGATTTAAAGGTAAACTCAGATGAATAGAATTCATAAACATTTATAGCACTTCTCTGTGACCCACTTTGCAAATGTTACGCATGTCGCGTCGTTCATATAGAAAGAAAAGTAGTATCTTCATTTTTAAATTTGTACGAATGTCAAAGTGAGGAAGAGGAAGAGGGAGACCGAAAGAGAAAAAAAAAGAAAGAAAGAAATAGAAAAAAAAAAAAAAGATAAGTAAATCTTTTAAGTACATTCTTAGTTACTGTAATGTATTTTTTTTTAATTGCAAATGTTACTTCAGGGTTGCGTTAAAAAAGAAAAAGTATCCTTTTTTACTTCTGTATATCTTCATTTATGAATTTGTATGCATGTCAAAAGGAGAGAAAAAAAAAGAAAAGAAAAAAAAAAGAAAAGAAAAACCGAGCACATATTTTAAGTTCATTTTTATTTTTTTGCAATGTATTTTTTTAATTGCGAATGTTGCGCACGTCGTTGAAAAAAGAAAGAATTAAGAAAAAAAAGTATCTTTATTACTTCTGTATCTCTTCATTTATGAATTTGTACGAATGTCAGAAAGAGAAAAAAAAAAGCAAAGCAAATTTTGTAAGTTAATTTCTATTAATACATTGCAATGTATTTTCTTAATTGCAAATTTCACGCACGTCGTTGAAAAATAGAAAAGAAGTATCGTTTTTACTTCTGTGTATCTTCATTTATAAATTTTGCTAAATATAAGAAAGAAAGAAAGAAAGAAGGAATTAAAAGAAAAAAGAAAAGAAAGTAAAGAAAGAAAAGATCAATTTTGTAATTTCATTTGTACAGTTTATTTTTATATATATATATATATATATATTTTTTTTTTTTCTAGAAAAAAAAAAAGAAATTTGATCCGTATTTAAAAAATCAACATTTTCATGGTCGTGCTCGTTCCTCAACGAGACCAGAATATTCCTTTATGGTGTATGCAAATATGTTTGCAGTATGTATGTGGTAAGAGAATAACACAACAGATATTAACAAACAAACAAACAAACAAACAAACAAAAATAGAAGAAAAAGAAAAAAGAAAGAAATAGGACAGTAGTCGAAAAAACAAAACGTTTCCGATAGAAATACAAATAGAACATTTTTTCTGCTTTTGTGTGTGTGTATATATGTATGTAATATGCGTGTGTTTGTTCGTACGTATCGGTTTGGCATATCGTAAAAAGTAATAGGTATAGTTATATAAACTTCGCACCGTGAGAGAGAAACACACGATTTGATAACAAATGTTTGCTTTACAGAAAAAGCGATCGGTGGTTTCGATAGCGTATTTTTTTCTCTCTCCCCCTCCATACCTTTCTTTCCTTCTCTTTTTATTTCTTTTCTATTTTTCCCTTTTTTTTGTTGTGTGTGTTTGTTTTTTTCTTCCATTGTCGTTTTATTTTCCTTTCTTTTTTTTTTTTTTTTTCTTTTATTCTCACCGTTCTCTTCCGTATTCTCTGTCGCGAATAAATATTAAAAAAAAAAAATAAAGAAAAAAAACTGCGAACGGTTGTGTAGGAGTGAAGGGGGTGGGAGGGTGGAGGGAGGTATCGAAAATCGCGAATTCGAAAGTCAAACAGGAGAGAACGTAGCTTTTCGGGATATTGAAAAATAAATTGAACGAGTTTCGATACGGTGGTTGATACACTCGTATATACGGGGTGAGGCATTTTCAATTGGAACAAATAAATATTATCTCTGTTATTTATGATATTACGGAAGACAATACTTTTGCGGTTAAATTATCGTTACTTCAATGGGGAAAACTAGATTCGTTTTACAAGATAATCATCTCCTTTCAAATACTTCGAGGTAATTGATATTTTGAGTTTCATGATTTTTTTATTACGTTAAATGATTCGTATACCAAAAATAAAACAACAATAATTAATTTAAGAGATATTTTCATTTCAATATTGCTAAGAAACTACGAACACGTTGTTAACTCAATTGTAATTTGATTATTACGAAACAAATATAATTTGTTAATGTAACAAGAATTATTATCAAATTAATTTGAACATCACATTTGTCATTATTTTATTATTCGATTTTTATCGAAATGAACAATTATTTCATTCGTATAATTATCCCTTATAGATGTTCATTCTAAAAAATATACAAATTTTTTACACGTTCAACAAATTATAATCAATGAAAAATTCGAATGCTTGGCATAGAAAGAATTTTTTTTCCCTAGTCTAACTGACTTATTTTCTTTTAAATAAAATTATCTCTCTCTCTCTCTCTCTTTTTTTTTCTTTTTTTTTAAGTCAAATCTCAAAACTCTTCAATTCACCCTCGAATTTTTTCAACGGACAGAAATTCTCGACGATCGATTACTCGCTTATCGGTTAATATTTTCTTTTCCTTATTTTTTTATTTAAAAAAAAAAAATATAATATTCACTAATGCATTAAAAATATATATATATAATTCTTTTTAAGAAACAAAACAAAAAAATTAATAAAATTATGTCAATTATATTAATTAAACATAATATAGATAATACAATTTTCTAAAAATATTATCTCGAGAAAAGAAAGAAAGAAAAAAAGAAAAAAAGAAAATAACTATCTTATCACGACATATACCGTTTCTAATTAAATTTAATTTTAAAAAAGGGGTTTCCATAAAGCCATAAATAAGGGAGATATTTAAATGTCCTGATTTAAATGCTTTACCCTGTACATATGTAGTACACGCATACAGGTATTTACAACACACACAGATATTTACAACATACACGCGCTCACACACATACACACACACATATATTCACACATAAAAATGCGTAGGTTGCAAATTGAATTGGTATTCGAGAGTTTCGTGGAAACTCGCATGCGCGTTTTGTGTACCAATCCACGTATACACCTACCCTCTCCCACCCCTTCCCCACACACACACATACAAATACACAGAGAGAATAACTGCGTTCGACGTTTATTCGTTCGTGCTTTGAATCACGTTCGTTCGAGGGAAAACGTTTGCTCATAGGAGCGATAAATATATCCATCTAGCTCGCGCACGTGGCACGAGTGGGTGGTAGTAGTGGTGCTTGTAGTGGTGGTGGTGGTGGTGGTGGTTGTGATGGTAGTGGTAGTGGTGGTGGTGGTGGTGTTTTAGCAAGCTGGAAAACATCTTGACTTTTTCGTATATTCCGTGGGCGAATTTCATTGTAACGCGTGTTCACTCATTTCGTGGAAATCATTTTTTAAATCTGATTACATTATCGTGTGTAACCCTGTATTTTCTTATTCTTGACACATGCATCCGTTTATAGTTGGTGGTACACCTTATCGTTCCTTTCTCGTAACACGTTCTTCTTGATTGTAGAATTTCCTTAAGGTTTTATATATATATATTTTTTTTCTTTAAATATGAATTATTCATATGTATGTGTAACCTTAGTATTTTTTTTTTTCTTTTTCTTTTATATGCAAAATTTGTCAGACTCGATCCGTTCATTTTAATAAAATGCATCAATTATTTAAAACACGCGTTATCGTTTTCTTCTACGTAGTTACGACGCGTATCTTGATTATATAATAATTTCTTTTTTTTTTTCTTTTTTACTCTTGTTTAAATTATAATTAGAAGATATGGAAAATTTGTCAGGCGTGAGTAAGGGTACTCCAGGTTGTAGGAGTACTTTTACCTATACATATTTTAATATTAATAATAATAATAATAATAATATTAATGTACAAAAAAATATCATTATTAACATATACATATTTATATTTATCATCGTACGAAAAGTAGAATAAAAATTCGTGTCATTTTATCGTGGATGCAAAAAGTATTCGTAATATTTCTTAGGGACATTTTGTCGAATAGAAAAATATAGAGAGGGAAGAAAAGGAAAGGAAAGGAAAGGAAAGAAAATAGGATAAAAAAGATGAAATAATTTGGATTGCAGGGGATGCTTGACGGAGTCGGCATCGGAGTTGGATCTCGCGTGGTCCGGTTACGTGGAAACGGTCGAGAGGCTCGTCGTGGCGGTCGACGGTCGTAACGATCCTTTGGGTCTGAATGCCGAGAGGGCCGTCAGACAATTGGACACCCGCATTTCGGACGCCATTATGCAAGCCATGGGGAACAGCCGGGCTCTCGAGGAGAAGGTGAGTCTCATGCCGAAAGCATTCCGATATACCTTTCGCAAAGACTAACTCAAAGGACTGACTGAGACAACACACACATATTCTCTCTCTCTCTCTTTCTCTTTCTCTTTCTTTTTCTTTTTCTTTCTTTTTCTATTAGTATGTGTTGCTGTCTTTGTTTCTTTTTCACAAACGCGCATACATTATTTATATATATTTATTTTATGCGTTCGCACAGACCACAGGCAAAAATGCATTTATTTGATCAACTCTTTTCTATAAAATTTAACTATAAGATTATTTTCTTTTTTTGTTTTTTTTTTTGTCTCTTTTGTTATCTTCGAATTAACCAAATTTTTAAACGGGGAATATTATTTAATAAGAATAGAATTTTTCTTTTTATATATATAGATTTTTTGTGTGTTCATACAGAACACTATTAAATATATGATAAAATAAAAATAAAAAGAAAGAAGATTAGAAAAGTTACATACAAAAAAAAATTACTGTAGATTAATAAGATCGATCAGGAAAATTATTTTAATCATCCTCACTTTTATGGTAAATATCTTATTTTCTTTTTCTTTTTTTTTTATTCTTTCTTAATTATTTTCTACAGTTTCGAACGTGATATCATCGAAATCGTCGTTTTATTATTAGAGAAGAAAAAGAGTATAAAATAAAAAAAGGGAAAAAAATCGCTAAATAAATGATTCGATTTTGTATTTTTGATAGAAATTAATTGTAAGTAAAGAAATGTTTTCTATCGAACGATTCACGGACTCTCGTAGTTTTTATTGAAAATATAGTAGAACGATTTGGCTAATCGTTCGTTAAGAAAACTACTTTCTCGCTTCGTTAACTGAAAAGAGAAGGAATGAAATAAGGATAGAGAAGGAAATGAAATTCGGTCGACGAGTTTTGCCGTTTTGTTCGAGACGAAAACTCGAATGAACGATTCCAGACAATTTCTCGAGAGCTGCCATAGTTGATGCCGAATTCCTTTCGATTCTTTTATACGAAGTCTTTTACTTCTTCTTCTTCTTCTTCTTCTTCTCTCTCTCTCTCTCTATCTCTCTCACTCTCTTATTTTGATTCGAAAGTTTTTACCTGCTAAAAGAATTACAAAAGAAAGATCAGAAGAAAAAGAGAGAGAGAGATGGAAGAAGGAACATTATAACATTGAATAATTTGTTCTCATTTTTTTATTGATATTAGCTTCGAACATATTTTATTTCTCTCTCTTTCTTTCTTATATGTATATTAAAAAGATCTCGTAAAAGAGGTGTAATTCATTTGACGTAGTAATTTTTTATTCTAATACTTCATTTAATTATTTTATCAAAAATTATCAAGGACCACGTTTTATATATATTGATATAGAAATATATTTATTTCTATATCTTTATATTATAAATATATACGAATGATTTTACCTATATCATATACGATAT